GTATATATGTGTGTGTAGGTACGCGTAAATGGGTAAGTATGTGTATATATGCGGGGGAATATGTGTTGATGGTCCCCCCGGCTTGAACGCCAAGGCGCCTTCGATTGAGCTCGTCACAAATGTCGCAGACTCTTGGGTCCCACGTGCCCTCCCGACAGGTGGAGGCACATGTGAGCTATAGTCTAGACTCCTAGTATCCCCCTTCATAACCCCTACAATAGTCCCCGATATACTCTCTATATAACCCTTTTCTCAGGAGCTTAGATTCTAGCTCTTGTAGGTTGCGTGCGGTTTGCACTGTTTGAGCCATTGGCAGACTGTTGTGCAGGGGCTTTGCAAAAGAAATGCCGCGACTGGTGGCCTCTTCACATCTCGAGTCACTCATAAGTCCCACACGTTTAATCATCTAATAAGATGATTGGCGCTGATTAGCGCGCCCGGAAATAATCCAGTGCGCCCAAATGCTTCGGGGCGCCATGAATACGAACTCTTCTGGCCAGTGGCAGCCGTTGGCGGAAAGCATCTGGTTTCTTGTAAGAATCTGGTCCATAAGCTAACCTCCATAACCCCAGTTTCCATTTCATGTTCCATGTTCTTTTCCATTTGAATCTCCATTATAACCCCCAAAATACTCCTAACCCCTAACAGACCATGGCAACAAAGCCCAGCCAGACCAATGAGACTCGAGACTGCTGAGGCTGCCTTTTGTTTCTCGGGACTGATCCGTCAGGACTCCTCATTTAGCTCATACGTGGTCTGCACATTCCCCTGCGCAGCGCAGCTTGTAGGATTGAGATATAGTCCCCCTTAAGTAGATAGAATATGGGGGTATAGGGGGATCTCGTCATAATATACCCAAAGCCATATTCTATCTACTTAAGGAGGACTATAGCCCCGCTCCCATGGCTGGGATCCCGCAATCCCGACTTATTCCGAGCCGGGAGCACCGACACCTAATCAACAGGAGAAAAGCCTTGCACCACGGCTGACCGAGGAGCTAGACATTATCTGTACCAGTAACTTTAGGGAAATATGCGCTGCAACCGGTTGATGACTTGAGTGTTTGCCTACCTATCGGAGAGGTGAGGAGATCCTCACGAATACTAAGATGCTTGGCTCCCCCCGTAGCAATTTCTGAGATTCAGGACAAGATGGTCCGACAGGTCTTTGGAGAATTCTTATTGATGATTCCGCAGACCAGACCACCAGGAAAGCAGACCTTGAACTTGCTAACCTACCGCTGGTCCTAGTTGAGAAATACTTAAAACGCTTTCGAACCCAGATCTCACTCCCGTCAAGCCGGGGGCCCTGCCGAAGCATTTGAAGCAAAAGAATCGAAAACAATGAATCCCAAACCTCTGACCCCCCAAACTAAACCTTGAAGCCCTAAACCCTTAAACACCCAACCCCAAATCCTTAAACCCTGATGCACTTGGAGGAAGCCTTTGGGCTCTTGTCCGGCTTCTCCAGGAAGTTTCGCTTGCGTGTGGCAAATTCGCGCCTTGCTATCTCCGGACTGATCGGGGGTTAGGGCTTGGGTTTGCAGGCCTTGGTTGTTGTTTAGCACGCGCTTTCTTGGTCTGCACAAACTCAGCACTTCCCTCGGCCGAGCAACAATCTTCAAAAGTCGGAAGGCTTTTCTTTGGGGTTTCGGGTTGAGGGCTTAGGGTTGAGGACTTCAGGTTTAAGGTTGAGGCTCCAAGGCTTAGAGGTGGGCATAGCAAGTCGTAAGATGCAACCAAGTCCAAAAATAGGGTTACAAAAAAGGTCCCTTTCTGGAATTCCGTACCAAGGATTACAAAATCCTGAGCTCTATCATAGACCCCATCCTTTGGAGAAATCTTCACATCCTCGTCTTTTGAACTGATAGCTCTGCAAGTAAATCCCGTCCATGTTCCCCCTATAAACCCTATGTAACCCATTATACTATTTTCCATTTTCTTTTCCATTATCCTTATATAACCTATATTGCCCTATGTTATCTCAATATACCCGAACTTGCGACTCAAGCCCAAACCCCAAAGTCAAGACATACGTTGCGATGAGGCGCGCAAGTGCCGGCGCCAGCACAGGAGCGCGTGCCGAGGCGAGCATGGTAGGACATAGAGATCCCAGCGTCATGGCTCGACTTTGGGGTTGCGTGTCGGGGATTATCAAGACGTAGTGTTTAGGGTTGAGGGCTTAGGGAATGCGAGCGTATAACCCAGTAGTACCGTACAGCTCTTCATAATTGCTGATATGGATAGCTCGAGTGTCTTGTAAAAACCCCACCTAGGTCGGGGATTCATGGTTCATCGGTCAGGGCTTCACATTCTGCATTTTGCGGCTGTCAGGGGTTGAGGGTTGAGTTTCCCAATGTAGGGCTTAGCCTTCGGAGACTACAGGGTCATCCGAACATGCCTATGGCAACTTCTTGTCCTGGGTGGTCACTTTTTGGATTGCTGGAAGACAATGCTCAATTTCTACATACACACAACTGAACTTTGAAGTTTTGGCCGCAGGCGCTTTACCTACCTTTGAGTTCAAACTACGTCGCTTCCTGCCGCATGTCTTGTTCATCTCCGCGTCGACCACTCAACGGCACTCATGGTCATAGACGGAGACGCCAAATCATGATGCCAGCAGTCATACGGGAACATGCCGAACGCAACTGGGAGTCAGACAAGCACAGCATCACAACCAATTCGAGAAGCCCTCATCTTGATGGCATGCTTGGAATGCTTCTCATTCTCCTTACCTTGTAGCGTTGTTGACCTGAGCCTTGCCTCGTTTCTTTAAGCGCTTACTTCGTATGGATCCTAGGACAAGTCGCTCTGGCTAGGACGTAGGACATGCCAGACAACTAAGCCAGATGCAGAGAGAAACCAATAGCGCTGGCGTCTGCAGCCCCGCCTGCTGCGCTTGCGCCTGCATTTGCGCCTGCGCGTAAAAGCTCATGCCAATCTTGCCCAACCCACCTAAGACCAGGCAGCAACCCACACAACACATGCTGCTCACCCGCCAACCTCGGGACACCCTACCTTTTTGCCCATGTTTTTTGGCTTTTATGCTGGCTATGCATTTTGTGAATGTGCTCCAAGGTTTCACAGATCTCCTACACAGCTTGACCAGGTTTACTGAAAAGAGGGCCAGTGATAGCTTAGGGAGAACAACACTACAGGCTTTCCCAGGTCTCTGTGCCGTCAGCGGCCGTTACTCCTGCTCATGACCTAGGTATCTTGCGTACATCTAAGAAAGGCCTACCAGTGGGATTGGTCTCTGGTGACTGGCAGGTTGCTAGGGGATCCGTTGCTCATCTGACGCTCCGCGGACCGGATGGTTTGTGGCACATCGGCGGAAGATGTTCTTGCCATCATGTCGGTGCGCCAGCAGTCTTGCCATGTGAGTAATTGTCTAAACTCCTAGTATCCTCCTTCATATCCCCTATAGTAGTCCCCTATATAATCCCCTATATAACGCCCTTATAAGGAGTTTAGACTATAGCTCATGTCGGCGGGACTTTTAGCATGTCGGTATGTGGCATCCCCTTGCTGGAGGAGCGTCAGAAAAATTGAGGGAAGTCAAAAGGATTTGATGCTACTACAGGGGCCTAAATAATGACCAATATCATTTTCACTATGATTATACAAGCAATATGGAACCATAATATTGGTAATTATCCCTAAGCCCTAAACCCTAAATCCTAAACCCTAAATAGTAGTTTCCATTTTGTTCCATTCTCCCAATATAACCCCAATATAACCCCTATATAACCCTATATAATATTGGTAATTATTTAGGCCCCTATCTTACTGCTCTGGTTGGGGGTTAGGGTTCAGGCTGCAGCGCTCACATGTTTTCCCCCTGCGGTTTAGGGTTTAGGGTTTAGGGTTTGGGGAGACCGGGAGGGAGCATGAGACAGGCGGGCAGAGACAGAGAGAGAGAGAGAGAGACCATAGTCCTTATAGAACCTGTAGATTCCTTCATACTCACCCTAGACCCTATTATCGTAGTTTCCATTTTCTAGTCCATTCTCCCTATAAACCCCAATATACTGTATAGAAGTTTCAGTTTTCTCTTCCATTAACCCCAGAGCTACCACTGCTATGTAAGTTGCCTATCTTGTCTAAACTCCTAAACCCTAAACCCTTAACCGATGTAAGTTGCCTATCTTGACTCCCACCCTCCCACTTAAGCACCAACAAGTTTGGCCAGGAGCAATCCCGCCTCAGGCAGCTGCAATAGGGAGGGTTTAGGGTTTTGGTGCAGACCAAGATTCATCAACCCTCCTTTCTTTGCAAGACTTCTGGCTTATGAAAGGCAGGCCAAGTTCTGCACAAAGTCTTCAACATAGAGCCCCGGGATTGTATAGGGGAGTACTATAGGGGTTATAAAGAGGGATACTAGGAGTTTAGACCATAGCTCATGTGGAGGTAGTCATATGGAACACACTAGAGTGCTGTACTCTCAAAGGCCATTTCGGATGTACACAACCAGTGGAGCCCTGCGGACTGTCCGAACCTTGTTGAAAAGCACAATGTATTACGACTATGAGTACTGTTACTATTGTTACTATACTTGTTGCTATTATTGCTATCCATCTTCAGTTCATGCAGCGCCATGGAGCATGACTTGCTGGGTTTTTCAGTCCACAATGCTAGTTTACCCTTCCGAGCTCCTTTACTCTTTCTACTGTAGACCCGTGATTAATAAAACTCCCCTGCTTAATAGTGTAGCCCCAATATGATCCCCATAAAGGGAGGGGGTTATTCATTGCGTGTCCACACTAGTGATCTTCCCGCATTTCAAAGCCAAGGGCTAAACCTTTTGGCAGTTGGCAGCTAGCGCTTCTGCGCTGTCTTCTGTCTTCACGCTTGAACTGAGAGGTCGAAACATCATCTAGCTGGGTTGTTACAGAAATTCGGTGCGTGGGGTTATTGAGCGTTGGAGGTGTGGTAGCTATGACAACTTGGACTTCCAACCTTTGATTACGGTCTGAGTTTGTACAAGAACCTGAGGACTTACCACGGCGGGGGATCGTTCGGCCCTCCTGTGGTGTGAGGCGACCGTGATCTGGGGACGACCGGCCGCCGAAGGGGAGGCGGCGGGGGCGGGATGGGTGTGGATCCTGTTGGGATGCTGGGCCGAACAACTGGCCTGGCTTGGAAAAGGGGCATGGGCAATGGCACGGGCATCATGGGCGGAGACCAGGCTGGAGGCCTGATGTCACCTGGCGGTGGAGGCGTAGGCATTGCGGGTCGTCCCTGACCTTGGGACATCATTGCAGGAGTCAGGTGGGGCTGTGGGAAGGGCTGCGGATTTTGCACCTGCATCCCCATCACAGACCAGGGTCTGGGGCCCATCAGCTGGCCCTGAACGCCTTGAGCCCATCCACCGTGTGAAGGCCAATTTCCTGCAGGCCGTGGGCCCCACCGTGAGTGGCGCCAAGCGGGCATCTGGAATCCGTAGCCCTCTCCAACATGGTCCCAGCGGCTTCTGCGAAGGAGCCTATCCGGCGGAGGCGTGGGCGGGGGTGGCAGCCTTGGCGATCTTGACCTGGACCGAGATCTTCGTCTTGGGATGGGCTCCTCGCCATTCTCCAGGGAATGTTGCTCCCTCAGCATATCCTCTCAGGGTTGAAGGTTTCCTATTGTAGATTCTGTTATTTTGGGGCTATATTCCTATACCCCACCTTCCTTTACCTCACCTTTTGAACCATCTGGCCCTAATCCCTAAACCCTAAACCCTAAATATCCCCCTACGACAGCATCAAGGGAACCCCTGATTCTGAGAAACCCCATCTGATCCTCAAGCTTGAGGTTGTCCAGGGGGCAGGTTGCCTTAACGGAAATCCAGCGGTCAATGCACTCCTTGTGGAAGAAGTGCCTGGGTTGCAGTTAAAGGAACTTAGACTAAGTGACCATAATGGGTACATATAAGAAATAACTGGATTTCCCCAATATAGTAATATGGGTATATATCGTAAATAATTGGGTTTCCCCAATATAGTAACTTAAATTAAGTTCCTTAACAGCAACCCAGATGCAGGCACGGAAGGCGCCGGCACTCCTGGCCCACTAAGATATCGTCGCGGCACACCACACAGGGCTCCGCCGATTTCTTCTCCGCTTTGAAGACTGGTACCTGCTTAGCCGGAATCCCGACAAGAACTTGGGCTCACAATGAATCAGTGCTTCTGAAAGAAATTTGAGACAAGAATTGCCAGCTCAGCATTGTCAAATCCTGCCAGATCATACCGGAACTAAGTTAGTATAAGAGGTTGTAGAAGCAAACCTAGCTGAGACTTGAGTCTCCCCTACCCAAAACCCTCACATCCACTATATACACTCAGTTTCCAATTCCTCTTCCAATTTCTTTCCAGTTGATTCTCCATGTTTATTGGGGTAGGATCCCTAAACCCTAAATCCCAAGCCCTAAACCCCAAACCCCTCAACGTTAAACCCTAAACCCCTAAACCCTCAAACCCGGAGGCCCCAGGCGCCTCTGCCAGAAGCCGCATGGTGGCGGTACTCATAAGAGATGGCTCAGCTGGGCTGGTGGCCAAGTCGGAATGGGCCAGAAAATTTGGTATTATGGGCAAATCATCCAGCCTTGGCCACGGTTTAGGGTTTAGGGTTTAGGGTTTAGGGCTGCTGTGCTTCAAGACTGGCAGTTTCTCAAAACAATCGGGCCCCATGACACCACTGCAATTCCCTAATTTCCCAACAGCCCCTGGAATACCCCTTTTCTGAGAAACTTCAAACCCAAAACCCTAAACTCCGAACCCTAAATCCCAACCCCCATATAAACCTACTTTAACCCCAATATGACCCCAATAACCCTTATATAGCCCTTATATAATCCCTATATGAATTAGAAACTGTCCTCAATAATATGTCACAGGAGCGACTGCATAGCACTTGCTGGTCGCAGACTTCTGGATACCAGCTGCGCAAGAACCTGCTGAACCTGTGTTGCTGAGATGAGCCATAGTCTAAACTCCTTAAAGGGGGTTATATAGGGGATTTTCTAGGGGATTACTGTAGGGGATACTAAGGGAGATACTAGGCGTTTAGACTATGGCTCATATGAAATGTATGTTCCTTTGAACGGGTTATGAATTGGTTTAGGATTCGGGTCCAGGGGTTCTATGGGGATTCTATAGGATTTAGGGTTATCTCGCCAAGTTGGGGGAACCAAACGGTCAGAAACCGAGAATGAAATGCAAACTGCAATTATACAGGAATTAGATATGGAGCTGAGGAACTTGAACTTGGTTACCATCGTGTGGATATTGAGGAACATGGTTTCTCCATAGCTGGCCATTTTACAAGAATTTCAGAATGAATTTGAGAACCTGTCCGTGAAAGACACCCTTTGGGGTGAGGTCGGATGAGGTCGCCATATTTTGCTCATAATGGTAACTTATTTCAACTTCCTCAACATACTGTGAGATGGATCCACAGTAGGTAACATTAACATGGTATCCCTCATACTGGCGACTTACCGTAAACGCTATAACCTGAGCCCTTGACCCTAAACCCTTAACCCTTAACCCTAAACCCTTAGACCCTAAAACCGATACCGAGGAACCATAGGACCGCCAGCATCGCCATCCATGATTTCGTCCTCAGCCCAACCTTCGATGCCACCTGCGAAGATCCACCAGGTTTCAGGGTTTAGCAAAGGTTGCGGGGATTTAGGGTTTAGGATGTAAGCCTTCTGTAAATATGAACTGTAGAGGGTTTGGGTGGGGAGTTTAGCACGGGTTTTGACCGAGTTTTCGGTTTTGCCTGAGCCCTATACAATTTGTATTCACCTGGCCTGGGGGATTCAGGTTTTAGGGTTTACGGGCTTCTGGCTCTTAAAAGGGATATGGGTCATATAAGGATATGTAGGACTTAGGGTTTAGGGGTTTAAGGTGTTGCTACCTGCATGGCTGTGGTCGCATTGCACGGTGCGAACGCAGCTGAATGAAAGCGTAGAGACAGGAGCCGCGTAAGCGCCCAAAACTCAGAATTGAGGGTTTAGGGTGCAGGGTTTGTCGACACACGACGAAAGCTTCGAAAACTTGAGAGATTGTCTGGGTTGAGGGTTTAGCACCAGCCCAACTCTATAACCCTGCATAATCCCTATATGACCTTCATAATCCCTATACAATAACCCTTTTGCATCCAGACACTCTGCTCGTCTGCCTATACGATAACCCTAAACCCAACTCTATAACCCTTTGAATCCCTACACCCCACACCCAACTCTATAACCCTCTATAATCCCTACATGACCCTGCTTAATGCCTATATTGAATAACCCTACGTAAACCCCTAAATCCCTAAACCTTAGACCCTAAACCCTAACCCCTACATCCCTAAGTCGCCACCCGCCTATAATTTCGGGCGAAGGAGAACGCCGGTGCAGGCGGCTCGGAGGCGAGGCCCTGCAAGCACGGGCGCGGAGAAAATCTGTTTAGGGTTTTGGGGTTTAGGGTTTTAGGGTTTAAGGCTTGTAGGGTCTTAGGGTTTTGGGGGGTTGGGGCCTTTCGCATTTCAGGGTTCAGTGTTTAGAGTAAACAGCGTGCGGTTCACCTAATTAGTAACAAGCAGCAGAAGCATAAGAACAATGTTAGCCATAAAACTTGAAAAGGAAGAGTAGGAAGAAGTAGTAGTCGTCGTCGTAATGGTAGTAGGGAAGGAACATGAGTAGCAGTAGAAGTAGTAGCACGAGAGCAGCAGCAGCAGCAGCAGCAGCAGCAGCACTAGTCGTAGCAGCAGTAGTAGTAGCAGTAGTAGTAGTAGCAGTAGTAGTAGTAGTAGCAGCAGCAGCAGTGGGAGTACTAGAAGTAGTAGTAGTAGTAGTAGTAGTAGTAGTATTGGTTGTTGTTGTTGTTGTAGTGGTAGTAGTAGTAGTAGTAGTAGAAGAACAACTAAACGAAGCATACGGGTTCAAGTAATACATTTGCCCATACATAAATGGCTCACACAAAGGGTGCAGAGTCAGGTTCTGAAATGAGATCGGCTTTGAAGCTTAAATGTTCTCGATATCAAGATGCGTTGAAGGCTGCAGACAACAAACACTATAAGATGAGTGATCATGCTCATAAAGCTACTGCCGACATGTCTGGTGTCCGGGACACCAAGGTCACCAAATTTTTCTGCGAGGCCCTTTTAACACCTTCGAAGGTCCCTCAAAGATTGGGCAGACGCAGCTGCAACTCTACCTTGCGAGCACTTTGCAATCACCTTGCGAACAGCTGGCGAACAGCTGTGCCGAGCACGGTAAACCAACACTGAAATGCCCCAACGTCTTCAAAACATGCTGACATCACCCAAGCCATAGTTATCGAACTCAGATTGGCTTAGCTGTGCTGGCTCCTATGGAGGCTCATGACAGAAAGGGAGAACGCAACGTACCCAAAACAAGGAATAGCAATACTCGTCTGAGCAATAACCAGAACCATGACGGCAAAGATGACATGACAGTGTCTTTTGAAAGGAACGCTGCAAAAAACGGGATGCTGTGCAAAGCGCGGACATTCCGCATTTACGCACCTTCAAGGAAATGGACGTTGTCTCGTCAAAGCTATCCAACCTTACAAAAAAAAAAAAACTTATGGAACTGTGACAGGACTTAGGTACAAACACCTTATCAATGCTTGGGCCCCGTCGTATCAACGCTGCTTGCCACCCAGTCCTCCGGGGAGGTGACGGGAGCCGCCAGCCAGGACGTTCACTCTCCGCCACTGGGCTGAGGCGAAGCACAGGCCAGCGCTGAAGCACTGAAGGGATGTAGCCTCTGTGCCACTACCGTGGAGGAAAGCTGACGGTTGGGGCTGAAGGAAAATGAGGTGGTTCAAGATTTCCTCGGTCCACCGTGGTAGGGTATCGAGTGATATCAGGGGTTGTGGCGGTGGTATGCGTTAGTATTTGTAGTAATGAGCATCTGGGAGCTCTGTTGAAACAAGTCCGTGTACTAGTCATGGAAACAGGAACCAACACAATGATCTGCGCAGGGTAGCGGAAGAAGTGGCAGTAACGGCAGCAGCCGCAGTAGCAGTAGCGGCAGCAGTAGCAGCAGTGATACATAATCGTAGTAGTCGTGGTGGTGGTGGTGGTGGTGGTGGTGGTGGTGGTGGTGGTGGTGGTGGTGGTGGTGGTGGTGGGGGGGGCGGCGGCGGCGGCGGCGGCGGTGGCGGCGGCGGCGGCGGTGGTGGTGATGGTGGTAGTATTAGGAGGAGGAGGAGGAGGTTT